TACCCATAATAGCCATAGCTTCTAATAAATGTATGATTATTGAATCAGTCTTCTGAGCTCAAAGCATTTGCCCATTGAAAACCTGAATAAGAGTCAATGGTGTGGTGTACATATTTTAATTTTCCAAAATCTGCAAAGTAGAACACATCCATCTGCCATATTTCATTCCTTTGAATATCATTTGGGTTACTCTCTGCAGGCAGCAGTGTTTGGTTATAGAAAGAGCAAGTAGGACATCTCTTTATAATCTCCTTAACTTGTTGCTATGCAATAGGAAACTCTTTCTTTAAACCTTTGCTATTTACATGATGTCTTTTATGAAATTCTGAGGACTTCAGCACATTTCCAATCAATAATCAATCAATTTTTGCATTACCTTGTGCTAGAGGAACTAGCAGACCCATATGGGATCAGACGTGTGCTATGTATATGGAACAAAGCCTATTCCTGATTATGTCTTGAACCTGAATGAATAGTGAAGTCAATTCTCTATCATCTGGTATAAATTCAGCAGTTTCAGTATGCAGACACTTCTTTCTGCATATTGTGAATCAGTAACTATATTGAAAAGTTCTTTAAATCCCTTAGAACCATGAGCATAGCATATAATCCTGTCTTTTGGACAGAATTATAAGAGCTTTGTTCCACCTGACTCAAATCTTCTGATTTGTAACCTGCCTTTCTTAATTTACTTGCATCAGTATAGTATGGCCCCAGTAATTGGTGCATCATGTACAGTTTGGGGAAAAATTCCAATAGTTATCTTTGTAAGGTTAATTTTGTCACTTTTGGGATAATTGCTATTAATTTTTTCTAAAAAATTAGCACAAGCTATTTGCCAGGGTTCATTGTTTTCCCATAATTTTTTAATTTCATTAGTAATAAAAGGCATTATAATCTCTGCTGGGTCTATTTTTGCTAGTTGATGAAGTCTCAATTTTCCTTTTATTATTAATTCAGAGATCCTTTCCATGTAAGTTTTAATTTTTTACTTGGTTTATGTGGTAAAAAGATCCATTCTCAGATAATATCTTCCCTCTGAATTAAAATTCCTGTAGGGGAATTTCCGGAAGGCAATATGACTAGAATACAATTAAGATTTGAATCTACCCTATCAACATGTGCCTCCTGTAATTTCTTTTCAACAACTGTTAATTCTTTCTCAGCTTCAGCTGTTAATTCCCTGGAACTGTTTAAGTCTTTGTCACCATCTAGGGTTTTGCTTAAATGAGTTATTAGATCAGGTGTTATCTCAACTGGAAATGTTGTATACCGGAAAAGTCTCCTAACAATTTTTGAAAGTCATTAGGAGTCTTCATTCAGTCTCTCCTAATTTGTGCTGTTTGTGTTCTAATTTTCTATAAACCTATTTTATAACCTAGGTAATTGACAGAATCTCCTCTTTGTATTTTTTCAGGAGCAATTTGTAATCCTGATTTAGGCAAAACTTTCTTTACTTCTTCAAATTTTATTTCTTTCTTTGTTTTTTGTTTGTTTGTTTGGTTTTAGTTTTTGGTTTTTGAGACAGGGTTTCTCTGTGTTGCTTTGGAGCTAGTCCTGGACCTAGCTCTTGTAGACCAGGCTACAAACTCACAAAAATCCTCCTGCCTCTGTCTCCTGAGTGCTGGGATTAATGGCATGCGCCACCACCACCTGGTTTTTACATGTATTCTTATGATTATCTGAATTTCCTTAGTGTCTGTTGTAATGTCTCTCTTTTCATTTTTAATTTTATTAATTTGGATAACTTTTTCTTTTGAAGAAAATAAGTGAAATATTTGTAAAGTGAAACTCTAAGATACTGAAAAAAAAATTGAAAATATCAGAAGATGGAAATGCTCATGGATTGGAAAGATAGTGTTAAGATAGTCGTCTTACCAAAAACCATCTACAGATTCAACCAGTTTTTGATTGGATTTAAGACCTGCTCCATTGTTTTGAACCCATATCTGACACTGTGAATGAGGCCAAAATGTGAGACTAGATGGGTTGTAAACTTCCTGCTGTTTTATAGCTAAATGAACATAGCAATAAAACGACTCAATGGCATATTGCTCTATGCAAAGATCAGTGTGTCCCTTAACCCTCACAAGGGAAGCATCTTCCAGAGATGGTAATTAACAAAGAGATGCAGCTAGTCAGCCCTAAATGAGAAGCCCTTTTCAAACCCCTCCTCTCAAGGCTCAGGGATCTAAGTGTAAAAGGAAGTGGAAAGATGTTAAGAGATGGCAGTGAACAATTCCAAAGACTGATGTACATATGAATGCACATGAAACTGTGGTAGCAAGCTCAAGACCTGACGAGCTCAAGCTAGATGAAATCTCAGCTCAGAGATAGGGAAGAGAGTCTGTGTGCACTGACAGCAGCTGTTGGAAGGAAAATCAGTTTTCTTCAGTGGCTGAATGACCCTATGTCATCCACACTCCAGGAGAGATCCCAGGCTCAGGAACACTCAGCCAGCATGAACCAGACTCCAGACTTTGGGTTTTGGGTTTGTTTTAAGAGAGAAAGAATAGCCGGGCAGTGGCGGCACACACCTTTAATCCCAGCACTCAGGAGGCAGAGGCAGGTGATATCTGTGAGTTCGAGGCCAGCCTGGTATACAGGAGCTAGTTCCAGGACAGGCTCTAAAGCTACAGAGAAACCCTGTCTCGAAAAACCAAAAAATAAAAAATAAAAATAAGAGAGAGAGAGAGAGAGAGAGAGAGAGAGAGAGAACATGAATTTGGGTACATGGTAGGGGGATTTTGGAGGAACTGGAAGAAGGGAAAGAATGTAATCAAAATGTATTGTATGAATTTCTCAATAAATAAAAAGACTTTTCAAACCAACCAAACAAAAAAACCTCACTGGTTTCTTGTATTAGTTTTGTGTCCCGATACTTTGCTGGAAGTGCTTAGAGGACTTGAGAATTTTCTCTTGACCGCTGAGGATCTTTGAAGTATAGGATTACATTTTCTGCAAGCAGAGGAAACTTCCCTTCCGCTTGTCTCCCTTTACTGCCATTCTCCTGCTCCACTCCACTGTTCCTTCTAAAGCCTCAATGTGCTGTTGAATAAGCGATGAAAACACGCATCCCTGACTTTTTCCTGATTATAGAGGAAATGATTTCAGTATTTTCTCTTCTAATATGTTTGCTGTAGATAGCATTTATTATGTTGAAGTACATTTTTTCTGCTGATATTTTCTTCAAGGCTTATAAAGAAATGTTGATATCTTTCAAATTCCTCTTTTATAGCTATTCAGATGATTGTATGATTTTATACTTGAGTGTAATTATTTACTTCATTTGTTAATTTGTATATTTTGAAATATCCTTGTCTCTCTGGAATGAAAGCAGCTTGTTCATGGTGTATGGATTATTTTAGTGTGTTGTTGAATTTAGTTTTTGAATATTTTGTTTAATTTTTTATCTTTGACAATTTCATATGTGTATATAGAAATCTATTGTGATATTATTTACTCTTGACCCTCTCTTATCCCACTCTCACTGATTCTTCCTTTTTCCTGTCTATTCTGTCTCCTGCTTTCAGGTCTTTCACGGGTTTGCATACCTCACCAAGTAGAAACAGTTGCTTGCACATAAACTTACCAGTGGCTACATCACTGAAAAACACTGTTGCCCCTTCCCCAGCAACCATTAACTGCCAAAAGCTCCTCAGAGGGGGGATGGGGCCTCATGATGGAACATTAAAGGACCTAATTTTGTGAGCTGGAACCACCCACATCAATCACTAATTATGAAAATGCTCCACAGGCTTATTTACAGACCTATCTTATAAAGGCATTTTCTCAGTTGTGGGTCCCTCTTCTCAAATAATTCTAATTCGTGTCATGTTAAAAACAAAAACTTTGGATTTTATTAGTATCTATTGTGTATCTATTAGTGTCATATCTAATTTTATTAATGGAGCTTTTCCTTTTTGGTTGGCTTGATAAAGCGCTTCTCAGTCTTGTTTATAGTCTCTAAGAACCAAATCTATATTTCGCTGATCCTTTGATAGTGTTCTTTTCATTTCCATTTTGTTAGTTTTTGCCTTAATCATTACTTTCTTTCTAGTAGTTCCAGTTTTCCCTTATGTGTCTTTGTTTGTCTTCTTGTTGTTGCTTTTGAAATAGTCACACATGTGGCTCCACTTGGCTTCAAAATCACTCTGTAATGGGGAAAGGATAGCCATGAACACCTGTTTCCCTTGCTGCTGCCTTTTAAGTGCTGTCTTTTGTGGGTCAGACCTGGAGCACTGGTTCTCAACCTCCTAACACTGCAACCCTTTAATACAGTTATGGATGCTGTGGTTATCCCCAACCATAAAATTATTTTTATTGCTACTTTCTAACTGTAATTTTGTTATTTTTTATTAATTATAATGTAAATAAATGTGTTTTCTGCTGACATTAGGTAACCCTTGTGGAAAGGTCATCATTCAACCCCCGAAGAGGTCATAACCCATAGGTTGAGAACCACTGACCTGGAAGAACATTAAGTCATTATAGAAATTTCTTTGATTTTTTGATATGGGCAATCACAACCATGAGCTTTTCACTTAGAACTGACTTTTCTGTACCAACTTCTGTTTTCATTTAATTCTAGAATTAAAAAAAAATTTCCTTGCTTTCTTCAAGACTATTTATTCTGAATGTATATTATTCTAGCTTGTGTTTTTAGGTTTTTGTAGTTATTTTTTTTTACTGATTTCTAGATTTATTCCTCTTCAAACTGCTAATAAATGGAATTATTTCAAAATAATTTTCAATTATTTTGTATTCATTAAAAATCACATTAAGAAATAGCAAAGAATATACTGCCTGGTGCTAAAAAAAAAAAGTCTAACAAAGTCATACACAAAGCTCAAGTAAATATAAAAGCAATAGTCCCATGAAGTAAATATTTGTATTAACAAGAAAATACTGAAGAATTTTTACAAACGTGCTATATTTAATCCCCTTGCAACAAAGGAAGCAGAAAGTACCAAGAACTATCATAGGACAATCCTTGTCAGGACCCCCAGAAGCCTCTGCGCCCAGCCGTATCCCCGCCCCCATCAACCTCCCTTCCCCCGGCAGCCATCACTGGACGGTTGAACCCTCCTGGCTGGAGGACAAGACTAAACTAGGCGGCTGTACGCTCTTGTGTTTCCGGCAAAGAGGTGAGAAATATGGATTGCTATACGGTTTTGGAAAAACTTACTAAGTGCGCTGAAATGAATTCAAAGTTGTGATTTTGTAAATGACCCTAAAATTCAGGTGTTTCCGTTTATCCATTGTTTAGACTCCAGGGAAAGGGGGGATTTTGTTTATGTGTAATCAACAAGTAAAGTTGGGTCAAGCATAGGCCATGAGTTTCAAAGCCCCAACAGTGTCACTACTTGGATGTGACGATGGGTGATTGTGGTGCATGAGTTTGTGGTGCATGCTGTTTAGCTAAAAACATGCCCATTGAGGAATTTATTTGAGGGTGAGGGAGAAAGTGAGCTCCCACACACTGCCTATGTTTATTGCTACTTTATTTTTTAAAAATTTTCAAGATTCGGTGAGGATACTACTCAGTAGGTAAAGTGTTTGCTTGTCAAGCACAAAGACCCGAGTTTTGGTCCCCAGCATCCATATAAAAGTGCCAGGCATAGTGATGCTCCTATTGCCCCAGCTACTAGAAGGCTTGGGCAGGAGACTCTTAGATCCAAAAGCTAAGTCTAGTCATGGTGCGCTCCAAATTCAAGAGACAGTGTCTTAAAAAAATAAGGTGGGAGGTTCAGAGAGATCAGCAGGTAGAAACACTTGGCACTGTTGCTGCGGAGAACTGGGCTTGGCTCCCAGCGGTGGCATGTCGGCTCACAACTGCCTGTAACTCCAGTTTCAGTGGGTGCAATGCTCCCTTATGATCTCCCAGCCACCAAGTGTGCACGTGGTACACAGTCCTATATTCAGGGATGTAAAATACACATACATGTAAAATTAAAAACTAATTAAGGGACCTGGAGAGACAGTGTGGGGGTTAACAGCACTAGTTGCTTGCGTTGACCTGGTGGCTCACAAGCGTCCTTAACTCCAGTTCCAGAGAATCTGACACCTTCTCTGGCTCTGCAGGCACCAGGCACACATGCATACACAAACACAAAATAAATATTTTTAAGTAATTAAGGTAGGGAATAATATTTGAGACCATCAGGCTGACCTCTGGCCTTCACATGTGTTCATATATGTGTATACACCACATATATGTGCATGTCTGCACATGAACACACACACACACAAATATTTGCAAGATTCAGAAATTATCGATTGTAACAAGAAGTGGCGTGATAATATGAATTCATCTGCTAGTATATGACTGTTGGAGATACTTCATCACAACATACTACGAAACATGCTCTGGAGTCAGAATCCATGGCTGAAATTCTCGTGTAGCCACTGATCTGCTTGGGTGAGTGGTCTGGGCTTTCTTTCTTTATTATTTTTTTTTACACTGATAGATAAAAGGACACATACTTGCCACATGTGAAGGTCAGAGAACGATTTGTGGAGTCAGGTCTCCCTATCCATCCTGTGAATCCTCAGGACCTCTGGTTTGGCAGCAGCTGAGTGCATTTACCTGCTAAGCCATCTTGCTGAACCAGGACCTCAGGAATTTTTCTAATTCATTTCTTCATAATGTAACTAATGTGTAACCCACCTCACAATTCTGTGAGACTGAGACGAATACAACACATGCCCAGTGCTTGGAATAATACATAGTAATTGCATAGTAGCTCCTGAGGAAGCTACCAATTAAAAGTGTTTCCCCCAATAAGAATTTAAGTAATATTTTCCAAATTGAGTTTGGTTCTCATAAAAGCTTATTTTTATAAAACGTGACAATAACAGCAAACTGCCTGGTTCATGTCTATTTAATAGTGAAGCTAATGTTGTTTTCCTCTTACTTAGACTGAAAGTTTGATTTTGCCATCTTATTAGTAATACTAGCCCTTGACCCTTAGTGTTGCTCTTTCTGGTACAGATATGTCACTCTTGCATTGTTTCCCAGTAGTTTGCAAATATTATCAATGGGGCAAATAAAGAAATCACCCTTATATGAAGTTACTTTTAAATGGTTTGTAAACTTTGTGAACACATATGATAAATGTGATTTTATATAAAATGATACAAATATAGACATTCTTCTGTATTTCATAGATTTACCATTTGTCTTAAAGGGATTTTATGGATTTGTGATCCAAAAGGGCCACACTGAAGGCAACAGTGTAGGCTGTAAAAATAAACAAAGTAATATCTCATTAGAATACATTATAAAATGCAGAATTATGCTTTTTTTCAAATGAAGGAAGCTTCCAGGGATGTGAAAAGGGAAAAAAGAAAAGTAAGAGAGGATCAAAGAATATAGAGTGAAAGAATATTATATATATATATATATACATATATATATGCATGTATGGAAACGTCATAACAAACCCCTGCATTTTGTAATGCTAATATTCACTAATAAAGCAATATTAAAAGATACCTTATGAAAGATATGGCAAAAAGAATCTAGTGTTAGGTGAAGTCATTTAACTTTTAAAATGAGATCAAGAAACATTGTCTCATTGATAGCTAGCTTCCTCCTGTCAAAAACATCAATTCTCTTCAGAAATTCCTATGGTTCTAACTATAAAAAAAAGTGTGGACATTTGCCTCTTCTGTGCTGATAGTATGTAATAAAATTATTAAAGTGCATTTTGAATTGGTATGATTTATTTTAAAGGTCAAAAAGAAAACCCACCGGCGATGGAAGATTTTGATGACTTAACTCAGTCATCTGAAACAGCCTCAGAGTACGGCAGGTTTTCTTGCCCTAATTATGAAGCTATATTAAAACTAATTGAGCATCTTAACCTGGAATGCAAAGGTAAGCCCACCGCACCTAGAAGAGGAGCAGCTGTACACATTTCCTAACACTGCACCCCTGAGCACTGATGTGTCTTAGTGCATGGCAGGGGCACGCTCTATACATTTAAGGAGAATGAGACTCATATACGGTTAGCCAGAAACTTTATTATTCCTTCTGCTTCAGTGTGAGTGGCAGGCCTAGGATTTTAAAGCCACTATTTCTCTCTTGAGTGTTTACTATGATTAGGTCAGGTTATCTGTGGCGATCATTCCACGCCACGGGGTCTGCATCACCACCCACCTGCTATGGACCGCGACTCCATACCTTCCAAGAGCTGGATAATGTCCTAGGGGTTTAACGGAGACGCGCACACACACATACAGAGAGTTCGAGTCATTCGCCAGAGGAGAATGCCCATTTATTCAAACTTAATTCAGGGTTAAATACTTTGGCCCCAGAAGTGGAGAACCTCCTCCCAGCTAGGTGTGAGATCACGGGTGTTGAGCGCCTGGAAGCAGGAGCTTCCAGGCAGGGGGTACCGAGCTGGGAACCCTGACAGACAGATAGGAGGAGATTCAGGGCACCTGTGAGAACCCTCCTTAGCAGGTGAAATTACCATACCAAAGAGGGAAACAAGGTTCTGAACTAATCCCCTCCCCCTCCGGCTGGCAGAGGAAGCTAGGCTGGTTAGCGTAAACCGTTCTCACATCCTGTGCTTGACCTCGAGGAACAGGGAAGACAGGGCCTTATAGTTATCTTCGTCTCTACCTGAAAAACTTTGGAATTGTTTCTCTGCTAACCTCACCCATCTCTTGAGACCAAGATCTACTTCACAGCCCTAATCATGTGTTGTTAGCAATTAAGATACAATCATGTCAACACCTTGCTTAAGATCCAACAATTGCTCTAATTTCATTTATACTGCATGCTTGTGTGTCCATCTTGTGCCTCAGAAGTTTGTTCTTGTAATGGAGCTTTTTCTTTCTTATAGATTTAGTGAAGTGTGTGTGTGTGTGTGTGTGTGTGTGAACTGCATGTTTGCAAAGTGTATCCTTTGAAAAGTTTAGACATGTTGTTAAACATGTTGACATATGCTAAACACACATTTAGGCGCCACATCAAGATAGCACCAAATCTACCCCTCACAACACTGTTTCCATGCACACTTAAGAGCTCAAAAAACCATCTCCATGTTTTTATCATCTTCCATTCCCTCCTTCAGAAGCATAGGTGTTGTCAGTTGTTTTTAACCTTCCCCATGGATTGTAATGCATATAACACAAATTACATATAACACAAGTCAATAGCAATGTTTATCATTTCTCCACATCCTTATTTTCATTTGTATGTCTTCTTTGGGGAAATTTATCCTCAGTCTTTTGACAATTAGAAATCCAGGTTGTTTATTTATTTGATTTTAGTTTGTTGTATATGTTCTCGATATCAATCCTTCATCAGCTGTCCCCACAGTTTTTGGGTTGTCTATGTATTCTCTTTATAGTATCTTTCTTAAGTGCTGTTTTTTCTTTTATACTGGAGGATGCGCTCAGGGCCCCGCACATACTAGGCAAGCATTCTAACAGTGAACTGCATCCCTAACCTTAGTAAAGGTATTTTGCAGGGCAAGAGTTTAGATTTTTATAAAATCCATTTTATGTTTTGTTCAGTTATGGATTTTGATTTGGGGGTCATAGCTAATAATCTTCATCTAGCCCAGTCTTTGTGTAGAGGTTTTAGGTCCATTTTGAGTTTATTTTCATACACAGTGTAAGATTTGAGACAAGTTCATTTTGTGGCTGCGAGTATCCAGCTGTTGCTCATCCACATGTTGGAAAGTCTGTCCTTTCTCCCCAGTGCTCTCATTGAGCCCCTCCAAGGTAGCTTGTGCTTGTTTTTAAATGTTCAATATGTTCCTGTAGGTTCTGTTGTTCTTCACTGATTTATTTGGTTTTCTTTATACTAGTGTCACACTGTTTTGATTACTAGATATTTTTTTAAAGATTTATTTATTTATTATGTACACAGCATTCTGTCTGGATGTTTGCCTACAGGCCAGAAGAGGGCGCCAGATCTCACTATAGATGGTTGTGAGCCATCATGTGTTTGATGGGAATTGAACTCAGGACCTCCTCTGGAAGAGCAGCCTGTCCTCTTAACCACTGAGCCATCTCTCCAGCCTGCTTTTGTCACTTTTTAGATGTCAGAACATCGAGAGTTCTGTCTACTCGCTACTGTGAAATATTTAGTTAATGCTAAGCATAATTGTCCTATCGTGTTATGTGGCAGGAAAAGTGATTCTTCTCACTCGGCTGCTTCATGCCCTTTCTTTGCCTTATATTTACTCAGTCTGAGAATGCATGAATGTGGCAACGTGCTGCCCTTCCTATACAAAATGTACTCACCTATTCTATTTCCATGTTGGTGTCTCCCTGATTCAGATTCTGGTAGCCTATTAAAAATCCAAGACACAGTTCATTCATATAAAAGGTTAATCGAACTTAAGAATAGTCACTGCAAAGCACTTTTAGGAAAACTTGGAACTGTGAAAAATGAAGTGAGTGGACTCCATAAGAAGCTATCAGATGCCGAACATGAGAAAATAAAGCGGGAACAAGAACTTTGCAATCTAAGGTATGACAGCTCAATGTTAAAGATGTCTAAAGGTTAGGGGTTATGGCTTAGTGGTAGAATACTATGCCCAGCATGTGTAAGGCCCTAGGTTTTAATCCCCATAACTTCAATGGTGGTGGGGAATCAAATTTTGAGCTGGTTGTGGTAGTGTGTGTAATCCCAGCATTTGTGAAGCAGAGGAAATAAATCTCAAGGCCAACAGCAGTCTGGGCTACATAGGGAAACACTGCTGAGGAAGATGAAGGAAAGAGGGAAGTCAGGAGGATGAAAGGAGGAGGAAGGGTGGAAGCTATTGAGACAGCACTCTTAGTCTTGCGAAATATGAAATTCTGGCATTGACACAAAAAATGAGCAATCACCTCAGAGGGAATAACAGTTTATTCTAGAGACAAATGTAAGTAGCCATGGCCCCAAATACCAATATGGTCACAATTTTGTGGACTTCTATAGTAAAAGAAAGGAGAAAGTCATAAATTAAGGCATTTTTATTTATTCTTTTCTCATGCAATACATCCTGACTACAGCCTCCTCACCCTCCACTCTTCCCAGTTCCCCTCCGACCTCCCCCTCCCAGATCCACCACTGCGCCTCTGTTTCCCTTTAGAAAAGAGCAGGTCTCCCAGGGATGTCAGCTGAACATGGCCTAACAAGACGCGTTCAGACTAGGCACAAACTCTCATATCAAGGCTGGATGAGGCAACTCACTAAGAGGAAAAGAGTCAGAGACACCCCCACTTCAACTGGTGGAGACATTAAGTAGTCAGTTACGTAAAGCAGAAAAGTATCTGCTGTGAACCAAGATGTTACCTGCTAACATTCTTAGCCTTTGGGTTGAAGTCTAAGGGTATCTTTTAAAAAGGCTCTCACTGGGTAGTCAGAGATGTTCACTCAAACAGAGGACAGTACATGGTTGTTTAGGAAGTGAAAGATATCCCATAATAAACGTGATCTGCAACCTTCTAGCTCTCCACAGTTTCAGAATAAGTCAGTCAGATGTGGCTTTGGGAGGGGAGCTTCAGGTCAGAGTTCATCTTTTGAGCAAGAGGTACATTTTGTGCTAAAAGTCATAAATATTATTTTGTGTTCCACTGTACTAGGAAGGCTCGTTCCCAAAATCTGTTAGAGATGAGGCTGAGCTAAGAGAAATGCAGAGAGAGAGAAAGAGAGACAGAGAGAGAGAGAGAGAGAGAGAGAGAGAGAGAGAGAGAGAGAGAGA